GTACGCGGCGGAAGCGTGATGACACGGTGCAGCAGGATCGCCCTGCTTTAAAACCATGTCGAAGGAAGTTAGGAGCTAAGAGCTAAGGAGCCATGAAAATGGCAAGAGGTTTTAGCTATGGAGAGAAGTTGACGAGATGCAAGAGGGTTGGACTAGAAGAGAGAGGGATACAAGAAGGGGGGTTGTACCCTCTATAGTAGGATCCAGTATTGTAGCACACCTACCAAGCCTAAACAATTATATATATATAATATATAACTTGACATCCCACCCACCCACCCTTAGGCATAATAAATTGTTGTTGTTTGTACTTTTTGGACTAGAATGTTGTAATTGCCCATTTGAAATGAAGCACGCTGCCATTGCTACAACTAAAACAAGTTTTCTGTATAGAATGTATCGATGATAAACCACCACCTTGATCATGAGTGCTTGCTCGCAAGAGAGCAAAATCTAGAGCATGTGCGGTAACTATGCAAACTGTAGGAGAGAACCAACAGCTATTGTGAGGGCAGGGACAATCGTGGCAGGTGATGCGAGGTAACTTGGCAAGGGGAGGAGGAACGTCAAGAAAGTGTCACAGAAGTAGAAAACAAAAGGGGCAGAGGGGGAGACAGGAAGAAACTTGCGGTTTATGGAAGAAAACACACGGCAGAATTGGACAAGTGGGCTCGAAAATAAATAAAACCCTACCAGCAGTAAATAGGAGAATTAAAGATCAGCAACGCACCAGCTGGCTTAGGAGGCGGCGGGGCAGGGGTGCTAGAGGGAGGTGCGGAGGAGGCGGATGAGGGAGTGGCTGGGGATGCAGGCGGGAGGGTTTCAGAGAAGGTCCCATCGGGATTGAGAGTCAACACGATGTTGAAAACAATGCCGTTGCTGCCCTTGATAGTAGCGTTTTTCCACAAGCCAGGTCTCCTACAGTGTACGACCCATCCGTGTTCGCAACAGGCACAATTTCCATACCAGTGCCATCAACGACAGTATCCTTGCCAAATAAAAAAAGTGGTGCTTCTGAGTAAAAGTACACGCTGTCGGGATAAGAGAGCATGTAGTTCAAGTCAGGGTGGACTGGGAAAAATGTTAGTAGCGGGAAATAATGTGACTAGGAAGAGGGGAGGGGAGATACAAGTACAAATATTGTCCCCTCTAAGAATTGACATAGTTAGGCTATAACAAACATATATAAGCTAACTAGATATGTGTATACTGGACATATGTTTGTTGACACACCCCCTAGCCTAGGTAGAGGCAGATACTAACAAACCAGGGCAGCACTACTAGTCCGGCCTCTGGTGAAGGTAGCAAGACAACTCAGGGCAGCACTACTAGTCTGACCACTGAGACAAGAGGCCACCAGGCCAGTCAACAAGTATAACAAGACATGCTGGTATAGCACAACAAGTACAAGCAGGTATAGTATGACTCACGATACAAGGAGCGGTGCTGCTAGGGGGGCTAGACCAAGCTGATACAAAACCGCAGATGGTCACGAGGCGCAAGTGGCTTGATGAAGCAGCGGTGTTGGCCTCTGAGGCCAACTGTATCACACAAGCCTGATCGCGTTGTTGTAACTCAAGCATCACAAAGTACTGCAGCTGGATATGCATCAACCCGCCCTCAAGTCAAGCCTCCTAACACAGGGGGATCATGGCTCTGTTATCAGCAAACAGGACCGAGGCAAACTGAGGCTGCTCACATAAGTCTGTGAGCAAGAACGTCGGCCAACGAAGATCCTGAGCGGCCATGGCCCCAGCGTAGATCTCTGCCTCACAACTGGACTCAGCTACAGACGACAACCTAGTGGACCTCCACGAGACTGCACCAGCACCAAGACTAAAATAGTAGCCCTGAGAAGACCTGAGCATCTCTAAGTTGTCAGCCCATGACGCATCTGTGTGTCCAATGAGCACCACTGGCTCCCGTCCTCCTAGCACAAGCCCCAGTCCCGATGTATTTGCCAGATACCGCAGTACTCTCTTGGCAGCTGACTAGCGGACTGGTCGGTGCCTGCCTGTCACAACAAAGCGAGCAAGGAGACTGAGAGGGTACACTTGGTCTGGTTGAGTGCAGGTCATCAAGTACATGAGGCACTCCACCAGCTCTACGTATAGACCACTAGCCTCGACCAGCTCAGCTGGAATAGGAGCAGGGAGCTTGTGATCTACAGGCGGAGGGGTGGGTTGTGTTGAGGAGAACTAGAGATTGAACCTTTGGAGGATCTGCTGCACCATATGGGACTGGGAGAGTTTGATCATGCGAGCGGCACGGTTACGAGAGATCTTCAATCCCAAATAGCACCTTGGTTTTGTGAGAGTATAACCTCGTTACACTTCTTTCTCGTTTCTCCTTTTTTCCTGTTTCCTTTGGTATGTATCTCATCTCATTTGGTTTCCTATTATTTATTTTCCATTCACCTTTGGTTTATCCTGTTATTATAATTATATCACTGACCAGGCTCGGAATGTACTGGCGCGCTACATCTAGCGTAATCCTCCCTTAATCCCTTAAAGCCAATAGCATTGTGTGGCTAAACGCATGGTTATTTTGTTCCTAGTTACCTGATTCACTTTGGAAGTATAAAAGCTCCTTGTATCTATCGATAGTGCAACTTCCTCTCGACCAATTTGATCCTGTAACACTTGGTAATCAAAGATTTTCTCACTCGGCGACGCTCAGCTAAGCAGCAGCAGCGGGAAAACCTGCCTCGAAAAACTGTCGGGGGCGACTAATTCGGCGCCGATTCTGGTAAGCACCAGCTCCACGTTTTTTGAATCAACCCATCCACGTGTGTTTTGAACAGGATGGCGACCTTCGACAATGCCAAAGTTACCCAGCAGCTCTTCATCTGCCTTGCCGTCCTACAGGAGGAGAGGCGAGCTGACTGCAAAGCTTGGCGAAACGAGTCTGATCGAGTAACTCGACTCCCCGGCGCGCAGCAGGAAACATCAACGGCGACGACACAGTAGTCGCAGTAGCTGCTCGAGGCTCCAAAGCCTCGCCCACCCGAGTCGTTCGATCCGAGCGATCGAAATTCTGACATTCGCAGATGGATCGCCAACATGGAGATCTACTTTGTAGGCGTCGGATGGAGCTCGCTGGTTGGGGATGGTCTGCGCGGGCGACTCGTGGCGACACTAACGCGAGGGCCGACACTCGAGTGGACCGGCGGCAACAGTACGTTCATCCACGCCGAAGCCACGTGGCAGCAGTTTTGCACCAACTTGCCGAAACGTTTCGAGGCGATAAATTCGGGTTTTCTTGTCCGGGAAAAACATTCATCACCATCGACAGTTCAGGAGTGTAGCGTAGTACACGCAGCAGATGGAAGAATTTTATTACCGAATTCTTGACCTGACTGAAGGGGAAAAGGTACAATCATACCTTGCTAAGTTGAAGACCGAAGTCAAACGACAGGTAGCAGCGACAATTTACGCGAGCTGTAGTGACGTCGTATCGGCAGCGGAACGGCTTGACATGGTAAACGCCAGAATACGACGGGCGCACGTTGGCAGTACGCGATAGGGCAACCGCTTGGCGCACCCTACGCTCGCCGACCTGATGGAGATCGACAGAATCAACGGGCTGCCACGTCCGAAAAAACACCAATTTCACGTGTGATTTTTATGGAGAGCCAGGTTATCGAATCCTTGACTGCAACAAAATAAAGGCTGCACGTGCAGAGTATCGAACACGCAACAGTGGCGGAAATTCTTTGGCCAATCTGAAGGAAAAGAAAGAAAACAGGAATCGCCAGTGTTTGCGGATCTAGCTGGCGAAACAGGAAAGATCCGAAAGTGGCCGCGTAATTCAGGAAAAATCAACTTCGACAAAGTTGATTCGACACGAGCCGGAGGAAATGATGGGGGAAAATCCCCACCCCACAATCAGTCTTCACCAGGGAAAATCGTCGAGAAAGAATATGACTCCGTGAAAAAATACTATGCCGAAACAAGGAAACTTTTGGAAGACCCAAGGAATTAAAAGGATTCGTTAAAGTTATTTTGTAGAAATGTTTTAATGAAAACTTATGATTCTCGAAGGGCTAGAACCTTGGAGAAAAATCTGAAGGGACTCCAAAAGAAGCTAAAATTTGTGGTGATTTTACCGGTACCGGAGAACTTGGGGAAAAGTTTTAGTGTTGGAAGAAGTCGACCTTTCCACGGAGTCAACATCCTCTTCCTACACCAGCCCACAACGACTACCTGCTCCCGAGGGAAGACGTCGGTGGAGCTGAAGCAGCTCAAAAGGAAGCTGGGGGTCTACAAGAAGTTGCAGGAAAACCCCAAACTCCTCCTTCGGATGCATCCAGCTCAGCACCTTCGGTATCGACGACACGCACAATTGTGAAGGACACTCCGGGCCCTGGAGAGGAGCATTTCTCCAAGCAGCCTCGGCCAGCTACCAGCTCCGGAGTAGATAGCAACGAAAAGGTGTGTATGGAATGTTGGGATGTACCCTATGATCATATTAATGAAACTATCTATTGGTACTCGAAGCAACGCCCGCCCCTCATGCTCAAGGTCATCTGCAAAGGGCGATGCCTCCAAGCACATGTGGACAGCGGAGCATCGCACACCGTATGCGACAAGACAGCAATCGACGGACTTCGGGAAGAGTGTAAGCCTTCAATATTCTCTGCAAATGGCATCAAGTTAACAGTCTACGGCGAAGCAGTATTACACCTGCAAACGGACCACTGCGCTGGAAACCTGCCCTCCCCATCACCAACATAAAATGGCTTGACTTGATTTTTGGGCAAGATTTCCTTTAAAAAATCAACCCCGAGATCAACTGTGTAAACTGCACTGCAATCATCTTCAACAACGAAAGGAGAGTCCTGCTACCAAATTGGAACGACACACGAGAAGTTCCAATGGAGACACTCGCCAGATTCGAGAAGGACATGAAACAAACCGACACCGGGTTCATGGCGATAGTAACAGACGCAGAAGACGGCGGAAAGAAAACCTCGGAACCTAAATAAATAAATAAAGTAGTTTCAAGACATTCTTCCCAACGACCTTCCGCACGAGCTACCGCCATACCGAACGCACCAATACGAGATCGTGGAGGAATCAAATTCGAAGCCGACCTTCCGAACACCATACCGGCTGAGCCCTACAGAGCTCGACGACACGAAAAAACAGATCGAGTATCTCTTTAAGAAAGGACTCATCCGACCATCCACTTCACCATACGATGCCCCGGTACTCTTCACACCGAAACCGAACAAAAGCCTGTGCATGTGCATCGACTACCGAGCTCTCAACAAGCAGGCCATAAAAAATAAATACTGATTCCACGAATCAATGACCTGCTTGACCAGCTTCGGGTAGCCACTGTATTTTCCAATATGGATTTGCGGTCCAGATACTGGCAGATAAGAATGGCAGACAACTCCTTGCACAAAACTACTTTCGGAACTTGGTACGAGTCGTACGAGTATCTGGTCATGCCATTCGGACTCACCAACGCACCGGCAACCTTCCAAGCCGAGATGAACCACATTCTACGCCCACTTTTGGACGAATGTGTGGTGGTGTACCTGGACGAAATCCATATCTACTCGCGCAATATGAAGCAGCACGTCAAACACCTGCGACGTGTCTTAAAAATTCTTCGACGAGAACGCTTCTACTGAAAGTTATCCAAAAGCGAATTCGCCATAAAAAAACTCCAATTCCTAGAACATATGGTGAGCGCTCAAGCAGTTGATGTCGACCCCAAGAAGATCGAAGCCGTACGCACGTGGAAGACATCCGAGAACGTGAAAGAGTTGCAACAGTTCCTAGGCTTCGCCAACTATTACAACATGCTCGTGCCACAATATGCGAAAATCGCCGCACCATTCATGAATCTGCTGAAGAAGAGCACGCCCTATATTTGGGAACCAAAACACCGAGGAGTCGTGGAGCAGCTGAAACAAAAACTTACATCCGCACCAGTACTCATCTTGTCAGACCCCAAACGCAACTACGTTATCGAAGCTGACGCCATTGACCAGGCAGTGGGAGCAGTCTTGATGCAAGACTGGGGGAATGGACTGCAACCAATCGCCTACCTCAGCAAAAAACTACATGGGGCAGAAATAAATTACCCGATATACGACAGGGAGGCCCTTGCTATCGTCATCGCCTTTAAAACATGGAGATGCTATATTGAGGGATGACAACCGACAGTCTACACCGACCACTGCAGCCTTAGTATTTGAAGACAGCCAAATATCTCCAGGTGGCAGGTTCGGTGGATTGACTCGAGACCCACTTCCACTATGACATCGTATACAAGCCCGACCACAAAAACAAAGCAGACGCTCTCAGCCGGCCTACCCATGTTCTTGCCATCCAAGTTGAAGGGATGAACCCCACTACCCAAGGGAATCTTCACACACGGGTACACCTTCGACCCCGAAATTCCCTTAGCAGAGCAGCGTCACCTGCTCCAGTGAGACAGTGACATCGCGTACCGGAAAGGGTCAACGAAAATTTGGGTACCTAACTACCCACCTTTGCGTCAGTTACTACTCGAAGAATACCACAATGTCCTCTATGCCGGACACTTAGGTAGCAACAAGACGCTCACCGGTATTGTGAAACACTACTACTGGCCCCACATGGCTCCGTACAGAAATTCGTCACCTCGTGCAACACATGTCAGCAGATGAAGAGCAGTAAGCAGAAGAAAGCAGGACTGCTACAGCCTCTTCCCGTCCCAGAACAACCATGGCAAGTGTTGATAGGATCGGCCTACTTTGCACGAATTAAGCAGAACCTCAACTCAACCAAACGCCAATCTGCTCGGTAGAAGGACGCGCATATAAGTCTAGAGTCATCTGAAATTTAAATCAAGTGAAAATATTAACTATGGAGTGAGAACTGAATCAAAACGTAACCACTGGTCGTTGCCTTGGAAAGTAGATAGAACTTGCAAGACACACAACCATATAGACATGGTTCGGGGTTCAGACCTCTAAGAGGGCCCTGGAAGGGAAACAAGGTTTCCTGATGTCTAGGAATGGTTTAGAACCTTCCTAGAAGCACACCATAGGCCCCTCTCCAAGTTGCCCATGTGAGGACACATGCCAAATCCAAAGAGATTGGATTTGGCAAGATGTTGCAACATTTGCAACACTTGCATATTTTGGCTTGTAGCAACCAAGCCACCCCAACCAAAAGTCAAAGTTTTCTCCCCAACCATCTAACCACAAGATCCCCATTATAAGACCCATGAGATACCCGAGGTATAGCATTTGTCATTAGAACTTCCAATCTTGGAATTCTTGTAACTTCGGAAACATCGGTCGGATTGGGGCGATCTTGGGGTCGTTGGAATGCTCACGCTTTCTCCTGCATTTTCCATGCATTCAATCTTGGGAGAAAATCAGGATGATGAGAATATCGAAGATGGCGAGCAATGTGATATATGCTCATGCACACATGCATGCACGAATGAGACGATCATACGGCAGGACATTAGGATGATATGCACTCATGCTGATGTGCAATTAACAAACTCCCCCTCAGACTAATGGAATGCACACACATGCATGTGGAAATGATCTTTCATCCAACCAAGCCCATGCCATCACATTCATGCATTGGAACATCTAGTGCAATGCCATTCCACACATCTTAGCACACTTCCAGTGTGCATCTTCAGGAAGACGCTTCGTTAGGAAATCAGCCGCCTGCTTGCTTGCCTTCACATGGTGAAGTTCCACAACCCCTTCCTTCACCATCTGCCGCACCCAGTGCCACTTGATTTTCATGTGCTTATGGAGGCCATTCAGGATCGGATTAGTGGCCATCCCAATAGCACCCTTGCTGTCTGTGAATAGTGGCATAGGGCCATCCTGCTTCTCGCCAATATCTTCCAAAAGCTTCCGCAGGGACACGATCTCGTTAATTCCATGGTACAAAGCCATATATTCCGCCTCTGCTGAAGACTGAGCGATCTCACTTTGTTTCTTTGACCTCCAGCTTACTGGACCTCCTCCAATCATGCAAACAAAGCATCCAATGGATGAGCAGTCTTCATCCTCCGAGGCCCATGTCGCATCGGTAAAGCATGTAAGCTTCAAAGATCCGGGCTTCACCCCTTCAGCTCCAGGTTGCTTTAGTTGTCCAGCCATAGAAAACTGAACTCCAGCAGATGTTGTAGATCCAAGGTAGCGTACCATTCTCCTTGCAACCTCCAAGTGTTCAGCAGTGGGTTGTTGCACAACCCTCGCAAGCTGACCCACTCCAAAAGAAGCATCGAGTCTTGTCTGAACTGCTGCATACATGACACTCCCGATCAGAGAATGGTACTCCATCTCCTCCTCCTCAAGTACCACATCGTCTTCAGTGGGCTTCCTCAGCTTGAAGTCTGCAGGGAGAGGTGTCCTCACAGTACGACCCTCAAGAATGCCATACCGCTGCACCACTCCAGAGATGTACTTGTGCTGGTGCATCTTCAGCCACCTCTTTTCCACATCCCTCTCAATCTGCAGCCCCAAGTAGTAATGCACATCCCCAAGCATCTTGCACTTGAAGCTGTCCATCAACAGCTTTTGGGTCCTCTCAATCTGCTCCATGGATGGGGAGAACAGCAAGATGTCATCTACATAGATAAGCAAGCACAACTGCTGCTCCCCCTCACCAAGCAGAAACAAGCTGTGGTCAGCTTGAGAGGTGTTGAAGCCTCCAGCAAGGAGCACTTCCACTAGCTTCTCATACCAGCACCTTGGAGCTTGTTTAAGTCCATAGATTGCCTTCTTAAGCTTGCACACTCTGCCAGTCCCATCTTCATATCCAACTGGCTGCTCCATATATATGTCTTCCACCACCACCCTATTCAGGATTACAGTGATGATATCCATCTGCTTCACACTCCAACCTTTCACAGCAGCAATGGCCAGCAAGGTCTTCAAGGTTCCTGTTTTAGCAACAGGTGCAAACACTTCCTTGTAATCCTCCTTCTCCTTCTGCTCAAACCCTTTGGCAACCAAACGGCTCTTGTACCGCTCCACTTCACCATCAGCTCCGGTCTTAGTCTTAAAGACCCACTTAATGCCGATGGCTCGTCACCCCTTTGGTAGATTCACAAGATCCCATGTCTCATTCTCAATGAGACTGTTGAACTCCTCATCAGTTGAAGGCTTCCATTTTGCCTTCAGAGGGCCAGTCCATGCCTCATGTAGTGTGGCTGGATCACTAGGTAGAGTGGTGAAGAAGCAGAAAGCACTCTCCTCATCATCACTCTCATCCGCCTGAACCGCCATCGCACCTTGCTTAGGTCCTCCCAAGCGGCTATACCCTAGCCTTGAAGGTGGCGCTGCTGCCCTCTTCTCACGAGTTGTACTCTGCTGCATTTGCGTTGACGCTCCTCGCTGTGCACTCCTCTTAGTGACCCTAGCTGGTGGAGCAGTCATAGGCACTGATGGTGAGTCCACACGCGTTGACTCATCCTCGAGCCCCTCCTCAGGCTCATCTCCAACAGTGGGCTGCTCGTCACCACCACTGTGGTCACTGGTCAGCTCTGACCCAGGGCGATCATCAAGGTGCGGCTGAACCTCCTCCATAGCTGACCTCTAGAACTCTTGCAGCCGCAGTCCAATCTGAACTTGCTGTTGGTGCTGCCAGTCGTTGTACATCACATTTTCCACAAACTTGACGTCGCGGCTCACAATGGTCTTCTTACTCCTCGGGTCCCACATCAGCCACCCTTTGGAGTCGGGGGCCATCCCAAGATGGACGGCCCACACTGCAGCAACCTCAAGCTTGTGCCTTTGCTCCTTTGGCACCATCACAAGCCCCATGCAGCCCCACACCCGCAGCATATCTACAAGCGGCTTCTTCCCAAGCCAACGCTCATAGGGCACCCAATGCTGCTCGCCAACATGCGTCAAGACTCTGTTTTTGACGGTCACCACTTGGCGAACAGCTTCAGGCCAGAACTTGTAGGGAAGTCCAGCATCCCTCAACAATGCCTTGGCCGCCTCGCCAATGGTTCTGTTGGCTCGTTCAGCAATGCCATTTTGCTGTGGTGTTCCAGGGCAGGTCAGTTGGTGTCGAATGCCGTTCTTCTTGAGCCAAGCAGTGAAATCTGCTCCTAGGAACTCGCCACCACGATCACTCCTCAGCACCTTCACCAACCGTTGAGACTGCCTTTCAACCATTGGCAACCAATGATTGCCGCTGCCGCATCACACTTCTTTGACAAAGGTCGCGCCCATGTAAATCTGCTCCAGTCATCCACCAGAGTTAGGAAATACAAGGCTCCACCAATGCCCTCAGTCCGCATCGGACCCACCAGATCCATATGCACCACTTCCAATGGTGCCTTGGCAGAACCATCCACTCTATGAAAGGGAAAACATGCAAATTTACTTTGCATGCACACCTCGCAGTCATGAGAATCAGCATTGCCTCCATGCAGACGAAGCCCTTGCACACTCTGCTCTCTCGCCATCACCTCCAATGTAGAAACAGCCACATGTGCAAGACGTCTATGCCATGTCTCCCAAGAGGCTTGTCCAGAGGTTGCCGATGCCTTGACAGCCGCACTTGCTCCAGCCGCCGCAATCAGCCCCTCATCACACTCCTCATGATCTTCATCATCCATGACTCCTTCAACTGCTGCTGCTGCTGCTGGCTCATTCCCTTTAGGCCATGGGAGCACGGGAATCTGCCACATGCGCCGGTGGACTCCCCCATTACGCTGCAGGTCCCAAATGAGTCGGCTCTCCTTATAAGCACGATAGCGCTCTGAGCCGATGGTTTCAAAGTTCACGCCCACATCTCCCAAATGGCCGGTGCAAATCAGATTCGCGCACAAATCTGGTACCCAAAGCACCTCCTTCAAGCCCACCAACTCGCCATCCGCACCCACAAACATGGCACGCCCCATGCCCATCAGTTTAGCCTTGGCTCCTGTAGCGGATGTGACAGTAGCGATTGGTGCTAGCTGAATCTCATCAAGCAGGTCCACACGAGGAGTCATGTGCCAAGAGCTTCCAGAATCAATGACCCAATGAGATAGCGGATGTAGAAGAACCTTGGCAGCCATTGCTGGATCCGCAGCACCCTCGTTCACAAAGAAAAAGAAACCGGGCCGCCGCTCACCCACTTTTCCGCCTTTCTCCTCCTCGTCCTCCTCTCCACCAGCTCCCATAACTCCCCCACTCCTTTTTCCTCCTTGCTGATTGGTCCATGAAGGTGGGGTCCAGTCCTTAGGCCGTTGATAGCACTTTCTCCAGCGATGACCGCGCTTCTTGCAATAGAAGCATACATCTCCTTGGCTCCAGTCTTGACCTCCAGTACTCTCCTCCTGAGAGTTGTCATTCTTCTTGCCCTTCCACTTCTTCTTAAATTCACTCCTCCCTCCTCCAACTCCATAACCAGCAGCATCCCCCGAGCGATCCACACTCTGTCGCCGTAGATCTTCCTCCAAGATCCGTGCGCGAATGTACTCCAAGCTCCACTGGGATTGCTGAGAGTTGAGGTTGATAGCAAGAGCAGACCAAGACTCCGGCAATCTGATGACAATCTCCACACACTGCATGAGCTCAGGGTAGACCAATCCTCCCGCTTGCAATTTGGAGAAGATATCCGGCATCTCATCCAAAACCGGTTGCATTGGCTCTCCATCCACGAATTTGATGTCGCGCAATCGACGCGCCAATAGCACAATGCCGGTCGCGTGAGTTGGTGAGTGGATATCTTGCAGCTTCTTCCATGCCTTTGGTCCACACTTGGGATCTCCAAGCAGCTCCTTGATGTGATCCAACTGGCGCCCTCCAACCGCTTGCACCAAGAGCATGTACGTGTCGAACGAGCGTTTTATCCATGAGCCACGGTCATCCGCGTTCTCCGGTATCTTCTCCCTTCCCTCCACGAGCTCTAGCAGATGATAATGCGTAAACATAAGACGCATTCGAAAGCTCCAGTGCTCAAATCCCTCCCCTATGAACTTCTCAATTGAGAAAGCCTTCATAGGATCCACGGTAGGGTTCGATGGTGGAGATGGAGTAGATAACGTGGGTAGTGAAGGCTGATGAGCTTCTCCCCTCGGTTGTGAAGCTCCAGCACCATCACCAGCAGCTCCCCCTTGCTCCCTATCTCTAACTCCACGTGCCGTCTCGCCCTCAGCACCTACAGAGCCTCTATTCGGCATCTGCTAGCTCTAGGAATGAAGAAATCGTAACAAACCGAATCTGGCAGAAATCTGGCAGAATGTTCAGCTTTACAAGAAACGCCGCCACAAACACACGCCTTTGCATAAAGACCTGAAAATAGGCTCGTTAGAAAGCTCGCAACCTGAGCTACTCGAAACAGGTCTTACTCGTAGACATTGGTTGAGAAATGACCATGATTCGTCATCGCAAAGATAGGTACTGGCTCTGATACCACTTGTTGATAGGATCGGCCTACTTTGCACGAATTAAGCAGAACCTCAACTCAACCAAACGCCAATCTGCTCGGTGGAAGGACGCGCCTATAAGTCTAGAGTCATCTGAAATTTAAATCGGGTGAAGAGATTAACTCTAGAGTGAGAACTGAATCAAAACGTAACTGCTGGTCGTTGCCTTGGAAAGTAGATAGAACTTGCAAGACACACAACCATATAGACATGGTTCGGGGTTCAGACCTCTAAGAGGGCCCTGGAAGGGAAACAGGGTTTCCTGATGTCTAGGAATGGTTTAGAACCTTCCTAGAAGCACACCATATGCCCCTCTCCAAGTTGCCCATGTGAGGACACATGCCAAATCCAAAGAGACTGGATTTGGCAAGATGTTGCAACATTTGCAACACTTGCATATTTTGGCTTGTAGCAACCAAGCCACCCCAACCAAAAGTCAAAGTTTTCTCCCCAACCATCTAACCACAAGATCCCCATTATAAGACCCATGAGATACCCGAGGTGTAGCATTTGTCATTAGAACTTCCAATCTTGGAATTCTTGTAACTTCGGCATCATCAGTCGGATTGGGGCGATCTTGGGGTTGTTGGAATGCTCACGCTTTCTCCTGCATTTTCCATGCATTCAATCTTGGGAGAAAATCAGGATGATGAGAATATCGAAGATGGCGAGCAATGTGATATATGCTCATGCACACATGCATGCACGAATGAGACGATCATACGGCAGGACATTAGGATGATATGCACTCATGCTGATGTGCAATTAACAGCAAGTAGTTAGCCCAGACTTCAGAACCAGGTTACCACCTACCACTAGCGGTCATAATGCCATCCTTGTCGTCATCGACAAGTTCTCCAAAATGGGGCGATTTGGAAGATATGGATGTTGACACATTGATGGATGTCTATCACATCAGCCGCGCCATCCTGGAATACATCACCTCAGGGATGGCACACTACCTCACTCCAGTCATCTAGCGATACTGCATCCCCATAACAGATGCGTTGCTCGTGTTGGAGTGGTTCCGCCACCAACAATGGACTACTTGTGACTTGGGGTGACGAGGAGAGAAATGCGGACTTGGGACGAGAAGGAACTAGGAAGCGGGTATTGCGTGAGCGTGAGGTGTACGGAAAGGGGAGAAGAAAGAGAGAATATTGGTGGAAAGAAAGGAGAATGGTGGTTGAGTGGAAGAAAGGAGTGGAAGTGGCGAGAAACAGATGGACGTGGGGCAAAACTTGGGTTTCGGACGGGGCGTGTTCAACAAGCATTCTGACTTCGGACCAGCGGCGTGTTCAGCAAGAAAGTCGCGGTTGCGTGTGCGACTCGGCTTGACACGAAGCGCGCGAGTTACACGCAGCGCACACGGCAGTTACGAATCGCGTTTGTTCTTTCTTGTTTGCCTTTAAATCAGTCTACTCTTGTGTGCTTTGTATCTCATTGGAACTAGTGGAATGCTTGTGTGTATTGACAACTTGCAACCACTTTGAGATCAGATTATGAGGCAAGGCCCTTGAGGCTATTTGCACAAGTATTTCTAAATACTTTTCGCTGCGCCGGAGGCGATAGTCGCCTAGAGCTCGTGCCTATCAAAGATTTTGCGAGTGGCATGTCGTACATCTACCCCAGTTTCTGGTTCAGAATTCCCAAGACTTTGTGTCACAAGCTAGTGGACATTTTCCTAACAACATTCCCGAGGCTTTACAGATGGGAGTGGGTTCGTTTCCCCACGAGAGAAGAGATGGCGTGAATGGCTGACGAGTTCGAGTCGGTCAAAGGGATACCTACCGTCATTGGAGCCATCGACGACACTCACATCCAGATTCACGGGATGGGCGTGCATTGTGCAGAGTACTGCACCCGCAAAGGCGCAGTACGCCGTGCAGTTGCAGCTGACGTGTGATGCGCGTGGAGTCATTTGGGATTATTTAATACAACATCCCGGGAGTGCACATGACCAGCGCGTGCTTCTAAGCTCTACGTTATATGAAATTTTACAACGTGGAGACATCCACCCCTACCAACTGGTTGGCGACGCGGCGTATCCGTTGAGGGACTTTTGCCTCACCCCACTCCATGCACCACGCGACAGGGATCAATGGGCATCGTAACAAGCATATGTGAATGTATTTTGTCGGTTTCATTGAATGCCCTGCACGCCCTCGTAACATGCCGTTGATGATATTCGACTCATCTCAGGTTTTCGAACGACAAAAAAAAATTACCACAAAGCCGACAGTGGATAATGTCCAAAACACAGTGGTGCAGGGAGCTCACCAGTAGGAGAAGGGCCTGCTGTCGCACGACGGCTGGTCCCAGGAACGTGCATGCCCCCCTCGACGATCACGTCTGCCACTCCTGCACCGTCAAGGGCGTGCGGGTCAGCGGCAGCCGTGTCCTTCAGGTCGAGTTCCATGTACTCCCACCCAGGGCGGCTTGCAGACAGCGCCGCCTCCGCTAGCCGTGTCGCCCTTCCGCAGCTGCTTCCACTCCGCGACTAGCTTGCGCTAGTGCTTTTCCAGTGCATTGGCATTCCGGCACCACCCTTCGTTCTCAGCCGCGAGGTGCGCGGTGAGCTTCTGCCAGTACTCCGAACCCTGCTTCCCTAGCAAAGGCTTCAGTTCCTCCTTCGTGAACCATTGGGATGCCACGAACACAGTGCTCTCGCGAAGCGACTACCATGACCGCCTTCCCTAGCATTGGCTCCGCACTCCGTGGCGCTCGTCGGATTGCTGCGCGTGGGGGGGTTGGTCGGGGCGCTGGCAGGGTCCTTGTCGTCATCGCCTTCGCCCATCCCCATCTCCTGCATGTCCTCGTCGTCATCCGTGCCGACACCATACTGCGTCCATTCCTCGTCCTCCTCGACGTCGGGGGCAGCTTTCTAGCACGATTGGCCAATGTTTCCAGCCAGGGTATTCCACACATTTTGGAGCGTGCGGCATTTTGTGATTGTCGGGCATTTCATTACGATTGGTTGTTTAAAGCCAGGGACCCAAGTTTACCAACTGTAAAACAGTTGGTTGGGACTAAATTTATTGGCCGGCGAGCTGTAGGCACCGGTGAAATCACTGGCGAGTGTTGCAATTCACACAAAACCTAGTTTTTCCCAACCAACTGTAAAACACTTGCCCCAGGTTCTACAAACTTGGGTCCCTGGCTGTAAACCAGCGGGACATGCGGGGACCTATTGGATCACCCAAAAATTCGCACAATAGCGGCAAGCCAAACTGACGAAAGCGGAATTTTGCGGAAACCTCTCGTCACTTTATAAACTGCCGTGATGAGAGGCCCGTAGGAATGTACCTTGAGACTCCTCCCCCTTTCTAGAAACTGCACCCTTGCAATCAGTGCCTATTTTTCACCAGTAAAATACTATGATTCTATGATTTTTAGAGTTGGTTTTGTGTACCACCCTTACGTCCTTGGGTAAATATTTGTTTATATATGTTTTCTCTTATAAGCCAGATTTTTATGATGTACCACCCAGAGGGTCCCCCTATAGGGAGTATACCCTCGGGTTTTCATGTACCCCCTTGTCTACATGCGTGTTCACGCGGACCGCCCAGCTTGCCCACGTCGCTAGACTTGGTTTTAATCTTCTTTCAACAGATCAACTCCTGCAGCATAAAATCAGGACACAAGGCAATTGTGAACCTATGGACCAGGAACTTTATCACAACGATACCAACACTTACATCGGGAGAGCTGCCACTCAATATGGTGTCTCCGTTCTTCAATTTGAAGCACAAGGGACTTCTGAAGATTCCGAAAAAGTATCTTTTGGACCTTGTCAATATCCTAAAGAAACCGATTATAAGAAGGTTGAGGTAGACTTTGTCAACTTATATATGTCATGTATGTAGAAGTTATAGGCTAGTATCGGTGTGTATCCTAGTGAGTACAACCCAAATGCTATATGTTCCCTGTTTCCCCTTCTAGTCAATTACTCTCGTATTCTAACATGGTATCGATTAGGTTAGGTCCACCCACCCGCTTCCGCCCGCGCCCTAGCCTCTCGCCTCCCCCCCTACCTACCTAGCCCGGCTCCGCCTTTAGTGCCCACCCGCCCCGTAGCGCCCTCCTGGCCCCCGTCGCGCCCTCCAGGCCCCGTAGCGCCCTCCTGGCCCCTCGTCGCACCCTCCAGGCCCCCTAGCACCCTCCTAGCGCCCATCGCGCCCTCCAGGCCCGGTAGCGCCCTCCTGGCCCTCGTCGCGCCCGCCTGGCCCCACCGCGCCCGCCTGGCCTTGTCGCGCCCGCCAGGCCCCAAAGCGCCCGCCCAGCCCTGTCGCGCCCGAAAGGCCCCTCCTAGCTACCGCCCGGCCCTTCGACCGCCGGCCTAGCCCCTACCTAGCGCCCGTTCGGCCCCAGTAGCGCCCGCCCGGCCTCTTCCTAGCGCCGCCCGGCCCTTTCGCGCCCGCCAGGCTCCCAGCGCCCGCCCGGCCCCTCCTAGCACCCACCCGGCCCCCAGTCGCGCTTACCCGGCCGCCCCGCGCTTGCTAGGCCCCTCCTAGCGCCCGCCCGGTCCCAATGCGCCCTCCCGGCCCCTCCTAGCGCCCGCCCGGCCTTTAGCGCCCGCCCGGCCTCTCGCGCCAGCCTGGCCCCGTCGCGCCTGCCCGGCTTCCAGCGCCAGCCCGGCCCCTCCTCGTGCCTGCTCGGCCTGACGTGCCACCTCAGGCCCCGTGTCTTCTGCTCGCCCGCGCTAGGGTGCCTCGCAGCCGCTCTACTGGAGAGTGCTGCCGCCGTGTCCTCGTGCTGCTGTGCTCCTGCCGAGCTGTGGAGCTGTGCCGCTGTGTCGCTGAGGAGCTGTATCGCTGACCCTGCACGATGGCTGACTTTGCGCTCCGCCAGGACGCTGCGGTTGACTTCGCCGCCTGGCTCTCCGATCTCCGCCGTCAGCTTACAGGTCAGCGCCAAGATGGACACTCGTTGGTTGTCCATGCTGATGGCTTGCTCCCCCGCCCCCTTGCACCTGCTCCCCTCCCTGCTGACCCCACTTCTGCCGAGAGTGAGGCTTTCTCTACTGCTGCGCTTGCTTGTGCGGTCTGGGACTCACGCGATGCAGTAGCTCAGGTTGCTATCATTCACGCCCTCCCTGTGTCTGAGCGCTCGTGTTTCGCTACTGTTGATACGGCCAAAGCTTATTTAGACGTTGTTGTTGCTCGCTATTCCACAC